CTTAATATTATATTATTTAAAATAAATTCTCGAAATAATATAAAATTACGTGTTTAATCTTTTTTTTCTCTTTCTTATTATTTTTTTTTTTTTCAACTTTTCTTCACACAAAGTGGGTTGCTTTTCTTCATTTCTATTTCTATTTCTCTTTCTCTCTTTGTAAGTTGTGCTCTCATCTTCTTCTTCTTCTTCTACTTCTTCTTCTCCTTCACGTCGAAAGCTTTTAGCAGGAGATTCACTCACTCGAATATTTTTCAGTAAGGCAAGACAGCGATCCGATAATTATTCGAGCTAAGCTTTTGCGGTTTCGTTTTCTTTTGTTTTCTTCACGTTGCTTTCTAAGAAAAGGGGAAAACGGAAATGTGATTTTAAAAGCGCCAACTTTCCTCGCGGGACTTCACCTTCTTCTCTTCTCTTTCCCTTTCCCTTTCTCTCTTTTTCTCTCTCTCTCTCTCTCTCTCTCTCTCGAATGGTTTCTTTCGTCTCCCTTTTTCTCTTTTCGTGATTTCCCTCATTTACTAACTCTTTTTCTTTAACGCTTTGGTTGTTTTTTTTTTTTGCTTAAAACCGCAACGCGAGCCAAACGAAGCGAAGCGAAGAAAGTATACGAAAGTGTAAAGAGATAGATAGAAAGAAAGAAAGGAAAGTAGGGGGGAAGAAGGGGGGCGGTTCTTTTTATATTTATGGCTTTCTCAGAATTTCTCGCGAACGCTCGGCGTACTTTAACGTCAGCATCACCTGTCTAATTTATGAAAAATTCTCGAGAGTCGAAAATTTACCGGGCGTTAAGACATAGTTCTTTCTTATATTCCAAAGGAAAAAAACAACCCCCCCCCCCCAAAAAAAATACAGAAAGAAAAAGACGTTCAACGTTTAAACAATTCCTGATTACTTGCTTTAACTATCTCTGTTTTATTTTTTTTTTTTTTAGAAGGAAGGGATATAAACTTTTGATTGTTTTTAAAAGTTTATTCTCGATCGATGAAGAAAACGAGAAGCAGAGAGAGTAAAAAAAAAGAAATGACCAATCGGAATTCGCGGGGAAACCCTTAGAAACAAGTAACCGAACTATCCTTTGAGGTTTAAAAACGAAACTGAACGTAGGAGAAAAGTTTGTTTAGTTGAAAAAGATCCTATTGCCGAGTCCAGAGCTGCATCTGAAACGAGCCCCCCCCCTGTTAATGGATGATGGTGTAGATTTTTCCTTTTTTTTCCCCCCCTAGATTCTTTTTATTTTTAATTTTTTTTCTCTTTTATTTTTTTACTTTCATCCTTTCCTCCCTTTTTCAACGTTCAACATCTCTCTCTCTTTCTCTTCTTTCGACAAACTCGCTCGGCACCTCGAATATTTACACGCGATGATTTCGAATCCGCTCGTTTGTTTTAACGCAAATCGACGACACGTAGAATCACCACGTAGCACTCTAAAAGTTAAATTAAAAAAACCGCGAGTGAGAATCAACCGAATTCGTAAAAAAAAAAAAAAAAAATAGTTTAATACATCCCCCCTAGTTTCTGTTTATTTATTAATTGGTATTATGGTTTAGTTTTGGTCACAAGTATTTCGTCCTTTTTTCGCAAAACTTGTTTTTAATTAACATCTCGGGACCTTACGGTTATTATTCTTTTGCAATAAAATAAAAAATTGATCGAATATGTTGAAACATTTTTGATAATTTTAATCGGAAATCATTTGGTATTAATAGTCGAGATTCGTGATACGCGTTTAAACGTTTATCAAATTGAAGATTGTGAACTACGATGCCCAAGTTTAAAGTGCATATTTTTATCTTCGTCCAATGGTGGGGGTGGGAGTTAGGTCGTTAAATCGTAGCGAAGTAATACGAGGATATCTAAGGACGGTGACCCGGATAAATGCGTAAAAATAAGTATGGAACTATTATCGATTTTTCTAAAAAGGGAAGAAGAGAAAGAGAATATCTTTTGCGCCTTTTAAGAATAATGGAAAGGGAACGTTTTCTAAAGAATGAAAGAGAGGATGAGAAGGGTGTTTATGCAAGCATCCAGCAGCGAATGTTTGGCACGATTTGGTTACCAGTCGTCCGGGTAATAAAGCACAGAGAAGAGCAAAGGGAGTTTTAAGTAGAACACCGTAGGAACCGACACGAACGCTCCCGTTGCGGAGGATGCGTTTTATGGACCTTAACCCGCCTTCTTCAACTTGCTTAGAACTACCAACTTTAATATTCACCAGCCAAATGTCATCCTAAGAACATTTTTATTTTTTTACAATCAACGAAAAGCTAATATTGGTAGCTTAGACAATTATTTTCTTTCTTTTTCTATTTAGCTCAATTACAACGTGTTAAAGTTATTCGAAAAATTTGAGTATTATTTTAGTAGACAACTTTTTGGAATATGAAATAATATTTTATTTCCATTATATTTCTGTACATTAACTTTTGACGTTATGCTTTTTGTACATAAAATAAAGGTGTAATAACTGTGCCAGTACACAAATTTCAAGCATATTTATTCCGATTAACAGATTATAGAATAGATCTCGGTTGGAAATGCTTTTCGTTAGATTAAAAAATAAAAATGTTTTGGTTTTTTTTTCTTTACAAAAATTTCTATTAACCTTAAGGCATTGGCATAAAGGTTTTTGGTAAGCCGGATAAATAAAATTAAAGCGTACTATCGTTTCTGTGATGAACAAGGCTTCGGATATATTTTTAGGAAGGTTCTCCTTGAATTTCGTTGCACATGGCCTCATCCTCTTTGTAACAGGAAAGAAACCCGTTAACCCAATGGGTCCTCTTCTTACCACGATGCCAGAACGGATGTATTTTCGAAGGAACAGGCAAACACTGTTAGTTTATTCCATGATCTTTTTTCAACAAAGTTTTATTTCGATTATTTATTTTATTCTCAGTCTTCCAAAGAGTTTTGTTTAAAAATGACGATTACCAAAAATTCTATGGGGAATAATACTCTCCATCCTTATGTCTTATTATATTTTGCAATGAAATTTCATCGTGTAAGACTTTATTATCTATTTTTTTTTTTTTATATCTTTCTTTCTATCTTGCAGACACAGCAGACACGTACAAGTAAAAGAGAGAGAGAGAGAGAGAGAGAGAGAGAGAGATAGGGTTAGAGCGATTTAAAGGAAAATTTTATGAGCTAATTTACAAGCTGATGACGGCTTACGAAACAAGGGTTCCTTGAGCAAACCTCTTTCGGCATGAGTAAGGTCTCCAAGAGGGATAAGCTTTCTACAGTAAACTTTCGTCAACGATACGACTAGTGTGAGGTCACGATCGCGAGGTTGCCGACTTGAAAATTCGATTAAACTTCGTTACTACGTGTTTTCGTTCAAATTATATATCATAACATATATATATTATACAATTAATTTATTTATTTATACAGTAACGAAGTGAAGTATTTGCTCAGATTAATTTTCACTGTGTGTGTATGATCTTTTCTGTAAACCTTATTGAAAGTAGGATTTTTTAAATTAATTCATTTATAAAGTATATTACATCGTTTGAATTTCCCCTAAAACAAGAATGTTTTTAAATATTTGGTTTAGCATTAAAAGGTAGCTTCATGTACGTTCGGATAATATTCTTTTTTTATTTTTTTATTTTTTTGGGTATTTTTAATTGTAGAAAAATTTAATTTCTCCATTGTTCACATTGTAATTAAACTTTAGCCTGCAGAAATACATTTTTTGGAAAATATTTAATTAAATTAAAAATATCGTACTTTCAATAGATTTATGGTCGATAATTTAAATCATCATTGTAGATTTAAATATACTTTTTTTTTGCAATGAAAAGGATTATGAACAAAGTTTAAATGAACTATTGTTTCAAAATATGATTTTTTATACAATGCTTACTCGAATGTGCATCCAGGTGCAATAAATATTACATCTAAGAATTTTTTTATTTATCTTTTTATATTTTTCCTTTTTTTTTTGTTTTCCGAGCAAACACTTGTGCAAAATAAGATTTGAATGATTCGCGTTTGAAGTGGAGATAGGAAAGTTTTTTTCAGATATATTTAGACTCATGGTCAAATTTTTTTTAGTTTCTTTGAAAAAATAGAACATTAATGGTCGAGCCAAAAAAAAATATTATTAGATGTTATTTCATGAGGGATTTTTTCTGAAGTTATTTCAAAATGAAACGAGAGTAATTTAAATTAAATTTTAATTGGGTACCTTGTGGTTTAGGTATTAACTTGCTGTCGAAGTGGCACCTGATCGACGTTTCTGCAACAATTTCGAAAATTGTTCAATTTCAGTCGCGAACAATTCGTGCAATAATTTCAAAGAATTTTAGGTATGCTCGAGTATTTTGTAACTATTAGGAAATGTGATAACAGGATAAAGATCGTCTGGAATACGATAGTTCGATTAAATTTACTTTTATCAAAATTGTTATTTTCAAATGATATAATATATTATTTAAACAATTTTAATTTATAGAGTTTACCCATTTATATATTTTTTTTTAAATTAATTCCATTGAATTACACCTAAATACTTTCACAATATTTTTTACATATGATACAAAAAATTCAAATTCAAGTACAGGATATAATAAATAATTCTAATGTCTGATCTTTAAACAATTTATTTTCCAATTAGAATTGATTTTTATATTACACATTGTTTCTAATCATAGCAGAAAATATAATTGATTTGAATGATATCTCTTTTTCTCGAATGAGATTAAGTTTTGTATGAGGTCAGGACCATTTTCTTCCTGCGTGCGCCAATTTAACCAATTTCCAAAGACTAAAAGAGGAACACCAGCTTAAGCAGTAGATAGGGGGTTGGTGGGTGTTGGGTGGCGTTGGGTGGCGATGGGTGGCGATGGGTGTAGGAGGAAGGAGGATAGTTAGGTGAGTGCTAGTAGAGGGGGACTAGAACGACGATTGGTCCAGAGCGATGGGGTGGTGTGGGATGCGTGAATCGTGACGTCACGCGTCGACTGCTTTGAAATCAGCCTGAGTCAGTCGCGCGGCGAGCTTCGTGGCGTGTGTTTGTCGGTTAGTTTGTGTCTTATTTATCTCTCTCTCTCTCTCTTTCCTCTCTTCTCCCACTCTCCCACTCTCTCATTCCATCTCTCTTTTTTAATCATTTAACTGTATCTGCATATCAATTTATTTCTTTTGAATTTTTTTTTCTTTTCTTTCTCTCTTTTTCTCTCTCTCTCTCTCTCTCTCTCTCATTTCATCTCTGTCTATCTTTTCTAAGCGTTTAACTATATTCGCATTGATTTATTCATTTATTTTTTATCTTTCTCTACATCCATTTATCTATCTACCTGCATATTTTTTTTTATTTTTTTTTTTTTTTGTTTATTCCTCTCAACATTTCTGTTTCTACCGTCTTGTGTTCTTTTTTTTTTTTTAGCTCCGACTTCAAGTTTTTAAACTCGAACCACATCCAAACGAAGAAGAACACGAAATCGTAGAGAAGAATCTTCACTCTTCTCTTCTTTTTTTTTTATTATAACGTGTCTATCCTTTTCTCTTTCTCTCGTACCGTTGGATTACTCGGTTTTTTTGGGTTCCTTTCGTTTAGAAGGGTATATCCTTTATACGAATTCTCTCTCAAATATTTTTCTACTCTGTGTTATTTTTTTTTTTTATCTGTTGGAGAATTTCACCTTTTTTTCGTTGTTGTTTTTTATCGTTGGCTTTCTCTCGAGAAGCGCGAAAAATCGTCCGTGGAACTTGTGTGGTTCGGTTCTTGGCAAAAGTTTTTCACGGTAAGAGTGGACGGTAAAGAGGAGAAGGAGGTGAGGAAGAAGTAGTAGAGGAAGAAGAAGTAGAATAATAAAAAAAAAAAAGTAGAAAAACCACGTGACCAGAGAGTCGAAGAACAACGTGAACGAATCCTCAGAGAGAAAGAGAGAGTTAGATAGAGAGAGAGAGAGAGAGAGAGAGAGAGAGAGCTTCGTATTCTTCGAACGACGAGAAGGGCTTACCCTCTTGTGCAAGAAAGATTAGAGGGAAGGAAAGTTACTGTGCGATCAAACTAAAAAAACAAAGAGAGATTATTTAGTTAGATACGATCGTGTTAAAAAAAAAAAAAAAGAAAAAAAAACTAAAGCAAATAAATTATCGTTAAATTATCGGTGGAAAAACTCGAACTAGGTGTACGGTGAATTAGTTTGGTTGTTTATTGTTGCTGCTGGTTGATTGGTTTGTTGGTTTACGTGGGTGTTTATTTGGAAAAGATAAAAATAAAAAAAAATAAAAATAAATAAAAAACAACAGTGGGGTGTTGCAGGATGACGTTGGAAAAGTATAACGGAGTAGACAGCAGTGATATTAGTGACACGATTATCATCGATTATCTGTGATTGTGAGATAAAATAAAATCTATACTAATGCATAATAATAGAAAGGATTAATATCAAAAGGAAGGATATATGACACATACGTTTAGATAAACATAAGCTTTTTATCTTTCATCTTTTTATTAAGTGTGTTTGTGCGCGTGTGTGTTTGTGTCCTTTTTTTTATTTTCCTTTTCTTCTTTTTCATAAATATTATTATTATAATATTAAAGAGGAAGGATTATATTACATCATACGAGAGACGTTGATTTTTACAAAGAAAAAAGAAGAAAAAACAAGTTCATTTTAACGAATAATCGTTGATATCAAAGTTTGGAAGAGAGATAAATCGAAATGGGAGTGGTACTGATGCTGCTGCTGTTGCTGGTGCGCGGATTCATTCGAGGTTAACCGATCACCCTTTACCTTCTCGCGCCTGACTGCTACTCTCGAGTGACCCTATCTCGAAGGGTAATTAGTCGTTAGAGGTGTAGAGAAGGATTGTTATATATATATTATATATATTATATATATAATATATATACTATAGTTTTACATCGTCACATGTCTTTATTCACCGTCATGCTGACCACCACGTTGTTGTTGTTACTCTTCCTCCTGCATGGACCAACACTCGTCCGTACGGATAACTTGGGTAAGCCCTTTTCTGTGTTTTTTTTTTTTTTCTTTTTTAATAATAATTCAAGAGTTTTCTCTCTCTATATATATTTGACTGAAAACATGGTCGTAGTTTATATACATATATATATTTTTTTTATGTGCATATATAATACTAAAATAAAAAAATCTGTCGTGAAAGAATTGGGACTTCATCGAATGTCATTTTTCATAGGATGATCGACTGACTCTCTCTCTTCTGGTTCGCGTTCATTTTTCTCCCATTATTTTTCCTATCGTAAAAATCCTGTGCAAAACATTTATTTGGAATTTAAATTGACACTTTCAAAATTATTCCGTTGATCGGTGTTGTTTTATTATTCTATCGACAARCAGTCAAATAATGTTAAATACCATTTTCAAAGTATATGCAATGTTTATGCATTTAAAACGTTAACTTTTTTATTTTGTTTCTTATGAATGGGTCGTGTACAATGGACGAAGAAAAAAGAACAGAAAAAGGCTGTTAGGTTGAAAGTGAAGGATAAAACACACACATAGACACATGTGCAAATGATAAAATGATGTACTAAAGAATTGAGAAGAAAAAAAATCAACATATTAGCAACTTAAAATTATTAAAGTTGAAAAAATATAACTTTGTTTGTTTCGTTTGTCTTAAGGGTTCGTTTATATTATAGAAAAAGGGATATAGGGATGGAAAGGAAAGGTTGAGACAAATATTTTTGAAATATCGTCTCACACTGAAGGAGTACGAAACCATAAAAAGGAGCTTATTTTTTTGTATTAGTCTGTGCTTTCGTTCAATCGAAAAAGAAAAACAATGAAACACACGTGAGTAGAATATGATGCACGCAAGGAACTTATTACATATACATACGTAAAGTAGGGAATTGTAAACAAACGTTAATGGAAAATATTGTCGCTTACAACGAGTTGCTTTTCTATAAGAAAGCAACAGCAGATGAGAGAGAGGATGCTTTTGATCGAACAAAGGTTTCTACGATCCGGTGCAGTTACGTAAACGAGATGAATATGTGTCTATGTGTGTCTATGTGTGTCTATGTGTACGTATCTTCAAATCTTATGAAACTAGTTGAACAAATTGATTTTATTTATTCCCCTTGTTGCTTATAATTAAAATGACTCATCTTAGTCTTCTTTAAAATGAATAAACATAATGATATAAAAAAAGACAAATCATCAAACGTTTTAGAGACAAACTGTATTATGACTTTTGTACGTCTAACGCGTTATTGTGAGCGTAAAAATATCGTACCATTTCAACGTAGACTTTTTCTTACTATTGAAAAAGTACAAATCGTCGTTGACTTCTTCTTCTTCTTCTTCTACTTCGTTTTCTTTTTCTTCTTTTTCTTCTTTTTCTTCTTCGTAGTTGTCGTCGTCGTCGTCAACATCTCTGTCAACGTTGTAATTCTTTCTCTAGCTTAGAAGGAGACGAAAATCTTTACGAAGCTTCTTTTAGTACCTTAACGATCGGGTTTATGTTAGAACGTAGAAAAGAAAATAAAAAAGAAAAATAGAAAAAAAAAAGAAACGTTTATACATTTTTCCGACAAAGAATAAAATCGATTTACGATATATTTTGTATTTATTTATTTAAAAGTAAAAACGTTTCTAAATCAATCTATTTTAATTCTCTAGAATGTTGTTTAAACAATCCTTTAAATATTATTTGTAATACTTTGATCATAGGGATTTCTATCAAATACATTTGTTCGATGTCAACGTGTGGTAAAATTGAACAACGTATCCCGTTTAATGCCTCTGATAGATTGAAGTAATTATTTGTTTTAACACCAAATCTAACAACAATTTACATAGATTTATTTATATCTATAACTAATCCAAATGACCGATATTTAATTAAAATTATATCTGATTGCAAATTTAAACGTATTAAGAATTTCTATACATGTATTATATATTTATTTATATCTATAAATAATCATCAAATGATCGATGTTTAATTAGAGTTACATTTGATTGCAATTAAATGCAGATAATAATAATCCATTTTGGTGTTAGCTTTAAATAATAAATACATCAAATGCTAGAGAAGAAAAAAAATTAATAATAACCTTTTAATAGAAAATTTCAATTAAAAATTTGAAAAGCAGTTTAGGGTAGGGGTTTAGTGTTAAAATATAATATAATAAGGGTGGTATTACTTGCTGGTATTTTCACAAACTTGCAAAGAACATGCCGAGGAAAATTTTTGGAATATTTCGTATATAAATTAATTACTTTATACGTATTTCCTTTGAGATGATAATTATCATTTCGTGAGAGTTATTTTATAAATAAAAAAATACAAAATTTCAAGCAGCTTATGTAATTTATGCAATTATTGATTGATATAAAAAAGAATTCATGTTGTATCAGAAAAGTATAACATTTTCCATAGTGCCAATCATTCTACTTTTTTTATTTCTTCTTTTTCTTTTTTTTTGTAACATATACCAGCATATTGTCCTAGCAATGGTTTATTTATGTCGTTACACTGTCATAGTCACGTTTTGCTGTTATAGATACAATCGAGAGAATAGCATTTTTCTTCTTCCTATAAAAAGTTTTTCTACGTTTCTATTTTATGCGACAAAGTAAAGTCGAGTGAGTTATCGAATTTAAATTTTCTTATTCTCACGAGTCGTTTATATTTCACGGATAAAATTTACTTTAGAAATTTCAACAGACACGTGTCTCTTATTTTTCTTTTCTTTTCTTTTTTTTTTTTTTAATATTTATTTTAATTTTAATTAACTGTATACGAGCGTTTCATAGCTAATGAATCTTGTTAGAGAATAAATACGAACTTAATCCTCTGTATAACGTCACGAAATAAACTTCTAAGTCACACAGAGTCATTTAACGTCACAAAAGTATCACGGGTTGGTTCATATCTTGCAAGTTAATGCTAGCTAAAAGTGTAAGTTATATTTTACTATAATTACTTAATAAAGATATAAACTTGACGCTCTTATTATTATTATATTAATATAGTTTATTATATTTTTTTTTTTTGTAATTTTTATAAGATGTATAAGTTCGTGTTATAATTATAAATTATATTAGAAAATTTTTTTTACATTTTATTTCAAGTCAAAATTATTAAGTGATCAAAATATCATTTTAATAGCATTACCCGTATATTTTACACAAAAGGTTTTTCAATATTTCAAAATTTTCTTTCATAGAAAATTAATGGTATTATTTTCAATAGTTTTCTTACTCACGAAATGTAATGTTTCTAAAATAATACGAAGCTAATGATAGAGAATAAGAGAGAAAGAGAGAGAGAAATAGAGAAATAGAGAAAGATTAGACGATAGGAGAGATCGAGATTCAGCTTTCTGAAGAGGTAATCATCATCATCATCATCATCTAACAGTACGGTTCGTCTGTCTGCCAGGAACGTACCAACCTTACGACAATTAGGATAATTATTCCCTTAATTATGTTAAGCCCGCATATCTTTCTCTGTCTCTCTCTCTCTATCTCTCTTATTTGTTCATCTTGAAACTTTACGTAAGAGGGATGCGTGTACGAGTCAACGAGCTAGAAACATCGTTATCCGTTTTACGAATGAATTACCTTCGGCAGAGTTTATATTCGATAATCGATTAAATCTTCAAACTTATTTTGCATAAACGATGATTTTCGTTAGTTTATCTATCTCGAATGAAAAGTAAAGATTCTTCTTAAATAGTTTGTTACCTTCTCTTTCCTTCGTGTTTTTTTTTTCGCGAACTTTGGTGCTGAAGAAGGAACAAGAACGTTCGAAAGGAGTCGAGTGTAAAAGTTAGTTCGAACTACTACTAACCTAAGTCCCATGCGAGTTTAGATAGAGAGAGAGAGAGAGAGATAGAGATAGAGATTAAGAAGAAGAAGAAGAAACGTGAGTTTTGGTCCTCCTCTTGGTACGGTTCGCAGAGGCGACAAATAGCTACGAAGAGAGGCACGTAATTACCATCGTAAATCTGTCCCAACTACTGTGTCTGTTGCAAAAAAGTAGAAAAAAAAATCCAATAGAAATAGAGAGATAGATAGATATAGAGAGAAAGTGTACTAAGAGTAGGTAAAATATGGTAGAAAAATGGAGAGGTACGTTAGAAAACTATGTGTTTGTATATCTATATGAAAATGTGTATGTCTCTCTCTCTCTGTGAGTCTGGGTGTTTGTTTGTACGTGGGTGTGATCAATTTCGCAAGAAAAGGAATATCTTCTCTTTCGAAGATGGCACTTTATCGATAATACTTTAAAAGAAAGAAAGAGAAAAGAATTGGGCTGCTCGTAAATTCCTATTATAATTGGCTAGATATCTCTAAGACGTAGAAGAAATTGTGATTGGTTGAGTTTTGGTTGTGAAAACAAAAAAAACTTGGCGCCATCTCCATAAATCGTTCGCATGGTTGAAGCTGACGTGCAGAGAGAGAACGATGGCCTCTTTTCGCGATGGGTGAATGGGTGGGGAAATCGTCGAAATTCTCGTAGCCCCCATGCCCTCATGTCCTCCTCCTCCTCCTCCTCCCCTCTTCTCGTGCGTTTGAAATGCAAAAACGAAAAGAGATGGAAGGTGGGTTGGTTGATAGCAAACCAACCAGGTTCTGTGGGAAAGCTTTTGAAACGAAAAAAGGATGGATAGATAGCACGAAAGGAGACTAGAAAAAAGATAAAGATAAAACCGAGAGAGAGAGAGAGAGAGAGAGAGAGAGATTTTTGCGGGTGGTACGTGCTACGAACGGTGTCGTACGTGTTCACTCTTTATTTGGACACCGAAGGTGAACATCAGGCAATGCGATGAAACGAGCTTCCGCTATACTCTCTATACTCGTGGAAAAAAAATGATAGAGAGAGAGAGAGAGAGAGAGAGAGAGAGAGAATGTTCAAATTTCAAATGCGTGTAGGCAGCAACTCAAGTGGTACACCATATACGCTTTTTTATGTACATGTATATCTTTCTTTGTTCATTTTATTTGATTTGATTTGATTTT